ATCCAGCATGTGTTGTCTTGATTCTCTTTAATGTCCAGTATGTGTTTCGTCTTGATTCCCTTTCATATCCAGTATGTGTTTCGTCTTGATTCTCTCTCATATCCAGCATGTGTTGTTTTGATTCTCGTTCATATCCAGCATGTGTTGTCTTGATTCTCGTTCATATCTAGCATGTGTTGTCTTGATTCTCTCTCATATCTAGCATGTGTTGTTTTGATTCTCTCTCATATCTAGCATGTGTTGTCTTGATTCTCTCTCATATCCAGTATGTCTTGTCTCGTTTCTCTTTCGTCTTGCCTTATTTCTCTTGGAAGTCAAACTTTTACACTTTTAGACACGCAAAAGTTCGCGTCCACCTGACGTGCATAAAACACACAATAAACAGGGTAGTTTAATGACACTTTGGGGATCTTTCAAAGGAGGAATGAATTTCGCGTCAGAGAGTGTGTTCCTCTCTCTTCCACGGGCAATTGCGAAAGGACAAAACTGGATAGAGCTGGGATTAATTCACAGAATAATTCTTGAAAATGGCAGGTACTTTATTTTGCTCTAAGTTGTGATAATATATGCGAGAGATACAGACCCGAGGGACCTTTTGTATAGTCTGTAATTTCACTTACATCAGATGTCGTATTGAAATTCTATATGACATATCCTTAGGGGGTCTAGGTGAGATGGGGAATTTGAAGTTGGTAGGTAAGCAAGATTTTTGTATTTATTTTTGTCAGCATACATACAATGTAGGCGAAACAGATATTCTCAGGTGTAGAGGAGAGAAAGGAGAAGCGTCGTTATCGTCTGATTTATCTAATACAAAGCATATCTTAAATATCAATTTTCACTTTCAAAGAACTAGATTATTCTTATTGCCAACTGTATAGGCCCTCGATTACAACCAATAGTTATGTAATTAATGTGTTTAATTTCCATGTTTGTTGACAAAGTTCTTAGGACTGTGGTTTGGATGTTTAATTTCCATGTTTGTTGACAAAGTTCTCAGGACTGTGATTTGGATGTTTAATTTCCGTGTTTGTTGACAAAGTTCTGTGTTTTTGGATACTTCCTGACTAATCCCCAGGAAATGAGATGTTTAATTTCCGTGTTTGTTTCTTGTGATTTGGATACTTCCTGACTAATCCCCAGGAAATGAGATGTTTAATTTCCGTGTTTGCTGACAAAGTTCTCAGGACTGTGATTTGGATGTTTAATTTCCGTGTTTGTTGACAAAGTTCTGTGTTTTTGGATACTTCCTGACTAATCCCCAGGAAATGAGATGTTTAATTTCCGTGTTTGTTGACAAAGTTCTGTGTTTTTGGATACTTCCTGACTAATCCCCAGGAAATGAGATGTTTAATTTCCGTGTTTGCTGACAAAGTTCTCGGGACTGTGATTTGGATACTTCCTGACTAATCCCCAGGAAATGAGATGTTTGATTTCCGTACGTACTTACACATTACTTGGGACTGAGATATCCGTGCTGGTGCTTTCCGACTACAATTCATTAACACCAGTTGGTTTTAGGTTTTCACCAGTTCTGTCCATTTATCTGTGATAGTCTGCTACAGCTGTTTGGCCTCCTATTACCCCAACTGTACCACATTACATATCGTATCAACCGAACCTCACGCATTTCCTTATTCACAAACATTAAAGAATGTTGATTTGAACCAATCTTATACCTACCCCGATTCTAGATGTCATTTGGTCGGGAAGCACACACTATGATATTTCAGCATAAGATCCGAGAATCTACATTTTAAAGAGATGACCGACAATGCCTATAAGGCTGGAGTAATAAGTTTCTAACAAAACCGAAACTTTAGGTTTGGACACAGGTGAAATTTTCGACCTACCTTTCTACGATGTTGACCGTAATAAATGGTTTCCTATTAGACACGTATATGAGAGATGGTTTTAGTCCATTTTTTACACTACAGTAAACCTCCTTTAGGGAGGCCATCTGCCCAGTGTCACTGTTGTAGATAAAGTCTACTTAATTTCAAGGAATTGTCGAATTTGATCTGAGGGGAAAACAAACACCGCCGTGCCTCCTCCTCCCCCCTCCCCTCGTCCCCCACGAAAGTCCTTTTCTGACACTCTGTTCTCGTTCATGTCTATTTTCTCGGAGTTGCCAAACTACATTGAGTCATGTTACCAAATGTATCACAGATAAGCTACCACACTTTGATTGCAGGTCTATATACTAAACTGGTTTGTAATTCAATCAGGGTTTCTTCCCAGCGCACTTTCCTGAAGATTCGACATTTAAAAAATGTTGAAAGTATCGCTTAACTAAATTGTTAAGTAATGACTCATGTTCTTGTAAAAAAGACAATTCATTGCCAGTTTATTATGCAAAGACAACTAATACCCAGGTTTGTAAAGAAAACTGATATCCATGTTTGTAAAGACAACTAATATCCTGGTTTGTAAATACAACTAATATCCAAGTTTGTAAAGACAACTATATCCAGGTTTGTAAAGACAACTAATATCCATGTTTGTAAAGACAACTAATATCCAGGTTTGTAAAGACAACTGATATCCAGGTTTGTAAAGACAACTAATATCCATGTTTGTAAAGACAATTGATATCCTGGTTTGTAAAGACAACTATATCCAGGTTTGTAAAGACAACTAATATCTATGTTTGTAAAGACAACTGATACCCAGGTTTGTAAAGACAACTGATATCCAGGTTTGTAAAGACAACTGATATCCATGTTTGTCTATAATACAACTAATATCCATGTTTGTAAAGACAACTGATATCCATGTTTGTAAAGACAACTGATATCCAGGTTTGTCTATAAGACAACTGATATCCATGTTTGTAAAGACAACTGATATCCATGTTTGTAAAGACAACTGATATCCAGGTTTGTAAAGTCAACTGATATCCAGGTTTGTAAAGACAACTGATATCCAGGTTTGTAAAGACAACTAATATCCAGGTTTGTAAAGACAACGGATATCCAGGTTTGTAAAGACAACTGATATCCAGGTTTGTAAAGACAACTGATATCCAGGTTTGTCTACCATATAACGGATATTCAGGCTTGTCATTATCCATTCCCCCTTAGTGTGAAGGAAACTTATCATGGTTTATAGAGGGAAAATTAATTTTTGTGCATAATTTGTCTCCTTTTAGATTATCAAAAATTGAAATATTAGTATGATATGCATATGATGAATGATCCCAGCTGACCTCGAGAGGTCTAATGCGCAAGAACAAAACAGAGTCAAACAGACAAAAAAATTCTGCAGGAATGGAAGAATTACGTACAGAGTATGAATATGAAGTGTCATGATCCAATGGTTAGGTATTACCAGTTATAGCCGGTAGTTAGTCCTGTGTTTATTTACAGTCTGTAATGAAAACCAGAAACGGTATACAATATACAGGACCTGAAAGGGTCGACGAAAATGTGCTTGAATAAAATTTTAAGTAATCATTTTAACACTACAAGAAAAAAGTCGTCATTTATGAAAACAACACCAAATTCTTTAACGGTTTGAACACCTGAACTTGACGTACGCCTTTCTTCTGTAAAATCAGGACAAAATTACACGAGGTATCCAGATAAATAGCGGATATATTCTACATCAGTATAATAAGATAATCTACATCAGAACAAAGAACAAGCAGAATATTAGCTAGGTTGTACCACGAAGCGTTGTCCGCCATTCTGTGGTGGTGTACATAAACTCTATTCTCTGACCATCACACGCTATTTGTTAGATAGTGGGAAGTTGATGCAAGGAGTGGATTTTCTTATGACTTGACTAGTTGGCACACGAGAGTATGTCGGCTGGTTACAACCTGTTTGTGTAGATTTTCTAAATGTGATTCAAATTTGCTGCTGCTAAGACATTTCCAAACAGGTGCCTTGGTAGAGATCACATGACAGATAAATCCAGTAGTTTATGTTCCAACTGACAGACAAGTCATCAAGGTGCACCCAACACCCCTCTGTTTTCTAGGTCCTTAGTGGGGGCACCAAGTAAAACAAGGGGCCGACAAACTCCTCAATCCCGACACCCGGTGAACTATACTTAGGTACAAGACAAGTATCGATTACTCCCGAGGGCGCCGGCTATGAGCTAGCTACTTTTCTATAGCATTGCATTTCTTTATCACTTGGTTAAAAACACGTACACAAGCTTAGTTTGAATGGCATTCAGGTAATATGTTTGCACTACCAGAAATCCACCAAAATCTATTCGGTAACTTGGTTTTGTTTTTGTTTATTATTTCCGGCTGATCGGATCGAAAAAATACATACTGAATTTTGCAAAAATATCTAGAATGTTAAAAAGATCACACCTTGCATTATCCTATGAGCTGGGGTGTTTATCTCAGCAAGTTACTCGGAAGGGCCGAAGTATTCAATATTGGTTTTAATTAATTAAGACAAATAATGGGATATTGAATGTAATTATAGAAAATGTAATGGACGTTGACACATTTGAAAGGTTTATTGAAAACTCGTCAAAATGTCATTTGTGTAAACCAAATCTACCCCAGACATTGATCTGTGACTTATGTCTGTTTCAATTGTTATCTCATTGGCTGTGTTTAGAAGAAGCCATAATCCAAAGACACCAAGTATTTCCTCTCAATAATTAGGTACAAACTATTCCTTGCTATACTTTGCATCAATCTATGGTACTGTGGTGTTGTCTACGGTAAAAAATAAAAAACGGAATAGAAATAGTCCTTAATCATTCACAAATTGTGAAAACGACATGATTGAGTCGACACTAATAGCCTTACTATATATGTATCATAATTATTGTTATACAAGAAATAACACTGTTATTGATAGACCTAGCCAAACATCACGTGATAAACGACGCGTAGAAAAATTGGACTTTCATCGCTGCGATGGCGAAGTGAACCAGTCCGTTGTTTACTGTAGGCTCTATCTGTGACTACATGTTGTTGACTTTCAGGCTGAAATCATTCAGTGGAGAAATCGCCAAAGGTGGAGGAGACCTTCCTAGACAAATGAAAATATGGCAAAAATGAAAACGGAATTTATCTAGTGACAAGGAAGTACCGTTTTACTGGCATCACTGGTTATTTTGTGTAGACAATTACAAATTGTTACCAGGATACCGGGAATTGGTGGCATGGATGCAGGTTTCTGTGGAATCCTACTAATATGATGAATAGGAAGTTTATGACAGATAGGTAAGTATATATAGTGTAATTCCAGATGTAGCCATCACACGGCTTAATTAATGTTCTTACATTTAACAATGTCTGTTACAACTACTGCAGCAAAATTTTGATGAATATTTTTTCCCCATCATTTCCCATGAAATTGATCATTATCGCGGGATGTTTTATATCTATATCGACACTGTCAACTATTCAGGAAGGAAAATATCGCTCTAATTCCTAAATATAATGCAGAGTGATAAGTTTGAAGTTTTATGTCTTCTCAGTTTTGAAGTATTGAATATTTGCCCAATATTTACCCCGGAATCGTGCCATACCCTTAATGGTAACAACGACGTGCCAAATAAAACAAAAGTTTGATATTTACCGAAGTAAAAAAAAATCTAAATTATTGAAACAATTACCCGATTTACACGACAAGCAAACATATTTACCCAATAGTTTACTACTAAATTTACACGACAACCAAACATATTTACCCAATAGTTTACTACTAAATTTACACGACAACCAAACATATTTACCCAATAGTTTACTACTAAATTTACACGACAACCAAACATATTTACCCAATAGTTTACTACTAAATTTACACGACAACCAAACATATTTACCCACTAGTTTACACGACAACCAGACATTCACATCTAACAATGAATTAACTAACAAAACTTTCCCAATAACTAAACGTTTAGATTTGTCCAATAGTTCGTTTCCAAACTTACCCGACAATTAAACATTTATTTAACAAAAAATGTATTACTCAATTAACCCGACATCCAATTTTTTATAATTACCAAAGATTTTTTCACAAATTTCTTACCAAACATTTATAATTACCCAATAGTTTCCCCACAGAATTTACTCGATAACCTAACATTTGCATGAACCCAAGTTTCCCCACAAACTTTACCCACTAAACATTAAATATCTGCTGACAGTAAGTAAAACACACACCAAACATTTTGAACAATTAAACAATATCCGAAGTAAGTAAATATTTTACATGTGACACTTTTTTCAACATGAATATTTACTAAGATAGTCCCAGTAGTGTAAACGCTAATATAGAAATTTTATATATATAATGATAATATAGAAATTTTATATATATAATGATAATATAGAAATTTTATATATATAATGATAATATAGAAATTTCTAATATTCGATACCTACTAAATTAGTGAAACATTTTTACCGAAACATACAACAAACTTACCCAAGTTGAAATTGATATTTTTCAAGATGGTTGAAAATTTCTATATTAAACAAGTAGTAAGACATTAGATATGTACCAGATATTTCAACATTTTAACATGTTTTCTGTGAATCTGTAGCGAACCTATCATTGATCTAAAACGTTAGATAAGAGTCTATTCGCGCACTGGTTGCCTAGCTACAGAATACGGGACGGGGTTAGTTTTGAGTTTCAGCATTTACTATAAAGAACTGCGGGTTTTGAGAGGATTATTTTAATCGGTGGTAGGGCTTTGGCTATCTGTATTTATTTTGACTGAAGGAACCTAACCCTATGTAAAACACCAGACAGCTTTGGAAGTCGCTATCCTTGTCATCATCACATCATATTCCCGGCCACAGTTTTGAAGCTGTTATAGACATACACGTTAGTCATGGTACATTATCATCAAAAGATACACTTAAGGTGCAAGTTTTGTTTCACACATACATTTTAAATACGTTGTATAATTCGCCACAAATATTGAGGAAAATATTCTATACCTCATAAACTAAGTACTCATTGGTTTAGGTTTTATTACGTAGCAATGCTCGCTAAAACTTGATATATTTAACAAAACCGGACATAAAAACACAGTATTGCACAAAAAATACATAAAAAATATTAAAACAAGTGTTTAATTTCATTTATCGTTTACAAAAACAGACATGTCATGGTTGGTGTTGTTCAAATTACTTTTCTGGCAAGCACAAGTACTTCAACAAATTTCTCAAGTTAAACTTCTAAAGATAGGTATGTATTTAAAGTAGTTGATCTCCTTGTGTCTGAAGTGATCGGAACTGGTCTTTTTGATCCATGAAGCTATATAGTAACCTTTATCAACCAAGAAGGAACAATCAAGTTCTCAATTAAGGACACGTCTGTCCTGTAGCACTAGATAACCAATAGCTAATCAGGCAAGGCGCCGATACTTAATAGCGATGTTCCGGGATAAGAAGTCGGGATGTTCCCAGAATCTGACACCAACTGGTATCAGTCGGGAGGTTCTCCAGAGCTGGTACCCATAATAAGTCGGGATGTTCCCGGAACCTCGTATAAATTCTTAATTGGGATGTTCCTGGTGATTGACCGTCGAAATTTTGTAGGGATGATGATCGAACATTCCTGTCCATACGATACGTATTTTGGACATTTCTACACAACAGAATGATTTAGAAGACTGGACAAAAATGCGCCCTGGCATTTTATACGTCCGTACAGAATCTGTAACAATACTACAGAAATTGGTATAAGATTCCATGTGGACACATCGCCATTTCTTGTTGTTCTGTTTGTCATGTTTGTATAGGCAACTCGGCAGATCAGTGAGTTTTGAACATGATTTTCCGAGGAAGCATAAACATTGAAAGCCAAATGAAAGATGATTAGTGTTCCGAAGCAAACGGACATGGGAAACCTATCAAGAGATTCTTGGCAACGTCTGTGTGATAGTTTTACCGTGCGCTCTAGAATGGCACTTCCATCAAGCGTGAAACTGACTATGACTTCTACATGGATTCTCATTAAAGCGGCTCGCCCTGTCCTGTACAACTATTTATCAATCTGTGTACATTCCTGTGTGAACGACTGTGCTGATATGAAGAAGGATATATGCTACCGAAGATTGACGATAATAGACGAAGTTCGGGTACTGTAGTTAAGGCCAAAGATGGGTCAAGGATTTTTGACATTGATTAGAAACACTATCTTTTAGGTTGATTGACTCAACCAAATCCTAAATTTTAACATAATGCGTCCAGTTAAAACAGATTCCTGTGTTCTTATTTAATAGAAGTATAAACTATGCACTACTCAAAATACAGTTTCCAGAATCAAGTAATTTCTGTCAGTGATTCGATGTTTACTAATACAATATAAAGGTTATATAAACGACAAAACATACCATGACTATCAGCAAGAGAAATCCCAAACACATATTACGTTATGTAATGAGACATTGGAAGTCTAACATACTACTTACATGAATTGGCCAACAAAGCAGATCGTAGTAAACCTGCATATTGTCTTACCCACCTTAATTTCCCCGGTTGATGATAATTTGATTGTAATAGAATTTGAAAGACCAGGTAAATATTTCACGGGAAATAGACATTTTTGAGGAAATAAACATTTCCACTGTAATACACATACCTCGGGGAGTAAGCTGAAAGGGACTATCTTCTGATAGATATTTCTCAGGGAATACACGTGCTTCAGAATAAATACCAAGTTATTAAGGCATTCTTTACTGATCATTTTGAAAGCATTATAACTGTAAGTGATATTACGGATAAGGACGTGCGGACTGAACAGAAACTATTTGGTACGCATGAACCTATTTTTAACACCGTCAATACTTTGTTTTGTAGTGTTATAAAGAGGTGATAAAACCAACACTCTAGAGACCAGAGTGAACAACACTTGTAGTTAGTGTGAAGATTGTGAGTTCCAACATTATCGGGCTTCAGATTAATGCGAGGCTAATGGAAGGCACGGATAATAGCCAATATCGTCAATTCTCGTTCCTTTTGAAATGGTTTCCTCAGCTCATTTGTCCCAACTTGAATTACAAAAATATTTGGTGAAATTTACAATTTGTTCGTGCTTTCAAATTCTTCTTGATGAAAACATTGGTGGCGTTGTATTCCAAGAAATATTGTAGTTAGTTAGAAATATCACAAGAATGCCGGCCTCGTCCACAGCGGTGGTTACACAGCAGAAAATACACGTTTTAAATTCCCAAGCCATTATATTTAACCATTGTTTTATTTCTCTGTATATAAAGATAATTATTTTGATCAGCTAGTTTACCAGTTGATGCAGGCTATGCTATTTATAATACTGCTTTATATTAATGTCGAGATTTTACTTGGCCCGAGAGTAGTTACATATATATATATAAACACATTAAGTAAACGTGGAAACTCACACTTCCTATTTCCGCGGACGAGAGATATGAATTGCATAATTCAGACTTCGTGTGTGACAAGGTAAGGTTGGGGAGGGGAAAGTGAGTAGTATCTCCCCCCGGGGTCAAAGTCAGGAGTTATATCTCAGCTGTCTTGTTATACCACCAGGAACACCACATGACTTAATTAAACATGCAGAGTTAATTGATTGCCATGAATAGGTCTTTTGTATCCCTACACAGAGTTGCTGATGCTGGATGCTAACTAAGTGGCTGTCTGACTTCCATACACCACCTGGTTGTGAATCACGGGTCGCTTTTACATTGGTTTTTACAACAGTACATTCTCGATTGTCTGCAATCTTTACCTATTTGTATTAATTATGTCTATTCCTTCCGTTTTGTATCGTATTAAGTGTTGTCAGTTGCACCCCTGGGTTTTGTGCCACGTTTTGTGGCAATGCTTACAATTTCGTGTAAACCGTAACCGTCCAACTGTACATTATCATAAATCCGTCAACACTTTATAAAAATATGCCGTGTTTTGGCAGATGGTGGGAACATATTGGCTTTAGAAAGATATGGTGAAGTATTTTGAGATACACAGATATTGCACATATATTACTCTGACAGTCACAACTTCATTTTTAGTGATTAAATTTTGTTTTTCATTCTCTGTTTCCCCTCTTAACAGCTTCATGGTTCCCAAGAATTTGGGGGAAACCAATAATACCCCACGTATGGTTTGTTACCACTCCCATTCCACAACCCCCCCCCCCCCCCACCACCACCACCACCACCACGCCCCCTCCACCCTCACTCTTAACTGTTTTGTTATAAGAGTACTCATATGGTCATACA